GCAGTAGGACAACATGACCATGGCCACAATCGAATTTCACTCAACCACAAGATTCAAAAACAAGCCGGAGACCTCCAAAAGTAAACCTGTTTGTTCTTAGGGAATGAGTTGGAATGACCCCTAACCATCCAACGGGTGGCTTCCTCGATAATTTCTGGGGTAAGGTGATGCCCTACTGAGAACCAGCAAGCCAAGAGCGTTCCCCATGTCCTCAAACCAACAGACTGCCAATAAGCTTGTCAGTTGCCTTTGGTGCCTGCAAAGGACATACTGTGGATGGACGAAATCATCAAAACGACTTTCAAATCACGCTTGAAACCATTGTTTATTGGTATTTGCCGGAGAATCGACTCATTCCAGGGTTTCTGAAAGGTGGTGCGAAATGGATTTCGCAACCACAGTAGGGAGTTTATTTTCAGTCTTGGCTTTTGTGGTTGAAATGTATTAAAGATTCGCGGATCTCCGCCCCCGTCAATGGTTGGGACTAAGCTGTGTCTAACAATCATGGAAGCGGACAGGGGGTTCACTTCCATGATTGTCTGGGTGATGAGGAGAACAAAAAACAAAAAACGCCTGGGCATCCCTTACTACCCTTCCTCCACCCGACTCCGTTTTGGGTCCATCCACCCGACTCCGCTTTGGATCAAAAAAAGACGCCTTGTCGGCGTAGCCCTGCGACACCAGCTTCTCCTTCTCGGTGTTGATCTCCTAGCCAGCGCCGAAGCAAGCAAGAAGCTGTCTGGGCGCTGAGTCGACAGCTCCAAGTGGAGGTGGGTCAAAATTCGGGTCACCCCAGAATGGTTTGCCCTGGTAAGTGCAAACATGGACCAAACAATTTGCGGTCCAGATCCCACACCCATATGGTTGGGTTGCTTTTGGGGTGGGTCAAACCGTCATCTGCGAAACCAAACAAGATTGCTTATTGGACACCTCCATATTTCGTTCGGTTGTTTTTTGTTGGTCAATGGTCAGCTGCGAAACCAGACAAGGAGACACGAGGAAGGAAAAATCCTGTTTGGGGTTGGGAGGGTATGTGACCAAACAAGGGTCATGGGGAGAGGCTTGCGCCCAATTCAGGGCAAAACTTAGGTCCTAGTGTTGTACTAAGGTTCCGCCGCTAACCCATCCCAACTCGGCGTATCAAGCCGTTAACCCATGGCTGTCGAAAACTTGATGTTAGCGTTAATTCCTGTGACCCACAAGATCCCATTTGAAGTGATGGCAAAGTCATGGGGATGGCCTATTTTGGTATGCCATCTTAGCGGAGGAGTGATAGAATGAGTGACAATTGCGATCACATTGTCTTGTTTTGAAATGATGTTCATTTACCCGAAGGGAAATTCGATCCGCGGAACAGGCCAAGCAAAATGACATCGGGGAAAATATGATGTTCCTCCTGAAGTAGAAAGACATAAACCAAATCAGGTAGGGGCGATAAAAGCCTTATTAGGCGGAAAAAGATCCGCTGAGATGAAATAAGGCCAAATAAAGCCAGCCAGGACCAAATAAAACAAAATACTACCACACACACACACACACATCCCACCCAGCCAGGCCATCTATATGGGTGGGTATTTGTAGAGGGTACCCCTAAAAAAATGGTTTGAAGAGAAGGAACACCGCGATCCCTATTTCACACCCATATTCCTGCACTCGCACTGAGCACTTAGGTCGAAAGGCTCCAGGTGGAAGGCTCGGGGCTCCCAATGCGAGGCCACCAAAGGCAGGTAGCTTGAGTGCAACAGGAAGAAAGCAGGGCTCACAGCCAACCCTTTCTTCAAAACATGCTTACACCACTAGTGACACCCCTGATGCTGTCTTGAGGGAGATCAGAAAGAGCCTGTTTAAACTAACAGTGTATTGTTTAAACCATCTCCATTTGGTTGCCCTTCAAGCAAACCCATGGTTCGGTGTAAACACAATTTGCAACACCCTGGGTACCTGCAAAATTGTGGCAAGCGACAAAGACCGGCCGAGACCAGACTTTCTGTATGACACATATTTTTCTGTGAACTCCGTTTGGCTACGAAACCACTTGTGGCCGATGCGAAACAAAGCCATGGCTTCATAGGTTCCGCCCGGCCTCCTCCTTTCTATCTCTGGTTATTCTGTTGACGCGGATGTTGAGGCCCGTGTCCAAGTTCGGGTGGAACCTCAGCGAGGAAAGCCGCAGGGCTCCTTTTTGCGGGAAAAAAAAAACATATGCGGAAGCAACCAAAGGCAACCCTCCCAAACCCCGGAGACCAAGAACCATGCCGCTGGGTTGGGAAGTGCTGATGACTAGGTCTGCCATATGGCTTGATGTTCTTCCATCCCTAAAATCTCACTTGCTGGATGCTCCAGGGGAAAGTCCATCCAAAACGGGAAAGTCCTAATTTCAGGAAGCACCTCGCGCCGGAAACAACAAAGAAGAAACAAACACACACCAAACACACACACACACACGGCACAGCACTTTCGTTCAAGGCCGAGGCAGTGCAAACATGGATCAGGAGAGAAAAGAAAACAAAACGGCTACGGATTTTCGGGCTCTTGGGCACGAGCCAATCCTTCGGCCCCGACAATGGCATCTGATTCTTTTTGTGGCTAGTTGGAAGGAAGCCGGACAAAGGGAGCTGATCCAAACTTGCCTGAGCAATCCCAACAAGAGTCATGCAGATATCCGCACATTTAACTCTTTAGATTCATGTATATCTTTTTAAGGTTGACCCGAAAATAGCACTGGATTTCAACTTGTGCTTTCCCTTTTAAAACCAACCTCTAATCTCTAAAGGGGATCTCAGACAAAGCCGCGGTTCATGTCTTTGCTCGCGCCTTTCAAAAGCAGCTGAGAATTGAGCGATTTCGAGGGAAGCCGGCATTTTGTGCGAAAAAGCCAGCGTTGCCCTGGTTCAGCACATGGGTGGCTCGTCTTGTTGGGTACCCCCATTTGCTTCCCGGGTCCAAGCTTCAAACACACACACACACACACACACACACCCAGACGCGGAAATCCCCCGGTGGCCGTGAGCAATCCACGAAAACGCCCTGCAAAGGCACCTTTCGGGGGTCAGTCTGGAAGCTTTTGGGGAAAGCTCGACCTTGAAAATCGGACTTACAAGAGAGGAAGCTTTTGGGGAGCAAACAAACCAAACATCCTTTCTCTTCTGGACAACCCCTTGCTGAAATCGGTCAAATCCGACTTGGCATCTTGAAGCAGCTTTGTCCATGTCAAGGGAGTAAGCTTTGGGGAACCTGGACTGAAATGGACCAGGGAAAACTCGCCTCAAGCAGGAATAGCGCGGCAGGGTCGTATGGTTCTGTCGCACAACAGGATTTGGACCCACAAAAATGGTTTGGCTTCCATGTAGTGTCCCTTTTAAATGCCAACAAACAAGGGCTCCGAGCCTCAAAAAACGACACCAATCTTTTTGATTCGCAACCATGCCCAAGTTGCCCCCCCAGTGGGCAACCTGTTTGGGTGGGAACCTAGCAGATCTGTCGGTGCCGATAACCCTCGGTCGTCCCGGTCCATCCAGGGGGATGGGGACTTGGCTGGACCATATTTATCAAGGATGGCAACCTTTTCCATTTTGGGTGGTTGCACCGATGTGGGTGGCTCGGTTTTTAGGTGTTCTTCCCTTCTATTTCCCTGATAAACCACACAACAAAGGGTACCTTCAAAACGGGACACACCCGTTTAGCGCAAGGGCAACAAGGATAAGCCCTGTAACCTATTTCTATTCACAGGGGACTTTGTGGGGATTCACTTGCAACAGTTGGGGCATCCGAGTGGGATTCCCATCATGATTTATATTTAATTGAAAGCTAGGCCTCCATTTGTGAAAGTTCCGCACCCCCGTTTTGCTGCAGCTTCTCCGCTTCTTGTGCGAGGGCTTCTCGAGAAAGTCGCAACCATGGGGATTCTCATCAAAGTAATGGGGGCTGATACAACCACCATTGACCAAGCAAAGAGTTGCATATGAGTCTGACTTATTGTGCCCGCCCCCCTCCCTTCCCTTTCCCTTATGAGGTGGTGACTCTTTTGGTCCGAAAGACACCAGACCCAAGAAGACCACCCTACCAGCCATTCGGTTGAAAAAACGTTGGTTGACTACAAACTTTTGTCTATTTCTTCTATTTTATTTGGGGGGGTTCCTCCCAACCAAAAAAAGTGGCGAGAAAGGGCACCAATTGCTGGGACCTCGTTGACACCGACCAGCCAAGGCGTTTCCCCTCGCTTCCGGGGCTTCGCCTTCGCCTGCGCCCCGGCGCGGGGCCCAGATGGCGAGCGGCGTGGACTCGTCATCGCTGATCTCCAGGCGGTCCCACTTGGAGTAATCCTCAGCTTGCGAGAGGAATGAAGGCCGGGTGTTGGGAAACAAAACCCTAGGAAACCAGAGGGGATAGTTTGTAGGGGTTCCATTTCATTCCATTTCATTCCATTTCTCATTTCCTGCCGAGAACCAGCAATTTAGACATGGCTTCTGGCCTTCGGCGACAAACAAAATCCTGCACCAGAGAGGAAATGCAACGAGAGGAAACCCCACGGAATGAGTCCCCAACGCAAATATCCACACAGAGTGAAGTTTCCACCATCCGTTTCAAAGTCGCGGAGAATTTCGCTCATGCACAAGATCCCTAAAACCCACAAGTCCCAACCAACCGTGAGGGACGTGGGGGGTCATGCAAGCTGGGGTTCTTGTATCAATCTGAACATTACCCAACGGTTGGGGTGTTTTCTTGGCCCGATTGGTTGGCCACATCCCCAACATTGTCTCACTTGGACCTCAGGCTGCCTATTGGCTCTGACTTTGTGGCAGTTGAGAGTTGCTCATGCTCTTTGGGGGAGTCTTAGGCGATCTGAAATTTTCGGGTCGGGCGGTTTGCTTGCTTTTGGGTTCATCTTTGGGGTTCAGCTCGGAGGGCTACTTTTGTGAACAGGCTGAGCAGCCTCTCTCTCTCTCTCTCTCAGGCCAGAAGGCCGAAGATGTAACATAGGCCGCAAGCAAATGCTCGTAGTGCCCTTCTTGAGTCTGGTGTCAAGGACCAAAACAGAAAAAAAAAAACAAGGGGGCACAAAAATCAGACCCATATGAAAGATACCCTGGTAAGTCCTTCGAAAGGATGGCCTTGGTACAACCTTAATGAAGCCAGGTAGAACCACCTTCAACGGCCCTGAGGGTTTTTTTGCTGCTCGATTGGTGCAATGCTTAAACTGGGGTGGGCTCAAGCCACAAAAATCTGGAGTGAAAGGGGGAAAGGGTCTGAGGATCAGAATCTTGGTTTCGGAGGTTGCCCATTTAATCAGGGTTTTCAAAGGATACTCAAACCCCAAAGTAACGTTTCTCAAGCGCTACCGTGCCTTGGGGCCCATGTAGTTTTTTTTTTTTTTGTAGTTTTTTTCCGGAACACCTTTACAAAGAAAGTCAAGGGTTCTACTGAGATCAACATGTGGGTTGGGCATGGGTTCTGAAAAAAGGAACCTCTCTGGGTATTGGCCCAAAAAAGCCTAAACTCTTCTTTTACCTCTCACATGGTCTACCCTAAAAGTTTAAAGTCCATGAACTCAGGGAGTTCGCCACCCAGAAGGTTGGGGGGGTTGAGGGGGAGGGGGGGGGGGCCCCTAAAACCCTGCAGCCGTGGCTCAAAGCCCGACATGGCCGACCTCCGACCCTCCGATGTCGACCTTCTCGCTCCGGTCCCGGCGCAAAACGGAAGCCGAGACGTTCTGCGGCGCCGGAGAGAGCTTTGGAACCGGAGATGTTCGACTTGTTCAATTTCCGGGGCGTGGGGCAAAAGACCGCGGGAATTGGAACTTGGTACAGGAAAATGGGGGGGTATCTTTTTTGAGGAGACCCTCACACAATGGGTGTTCCTTTCGGTTCCCCTGTAAATCCTAGAACCCAATATTTGTGCAGTCTGACATGCTCAACCAACGTCAGGTAAGTAGGTTCCAACCATGGTTGTAACTGGCCCCTTGTAACCGCGGAGCTATGACCTACTTACCTGACGTTGTTGAACGTAACATCCAAGTGGTGACTTGGTCGCGACTGGCTTCTGTGATCCCGAAAAAGCGGGGCGGTTCTTGTTGGCTGGAGCCACTGGACTGCCCCTCTCAAAGAGGGCTGTTATTGGGATGTTCAGACAACAACAAAAAGCGGTTCGCCAACGACAACCACATTCACGACAGTCTGGAAATCGGCTTGGAGGTGTCGAATCTGTGGTTCCACCCCTGCAGGATATTAAAAGAGCGCGCACTCTCTACAGGGTGGCTTGGAACAGGTGAGGACCATCGTAAAAGGCGCAAATCCAAACCCCGTTTTCTAGAGAGTATCCTGAGGTCCCACTACGTACGCGTGACGGAAGGCCTCATGTTCGAAGTTCCAAACCCTGTCGTGCCATCCCTCACCGTAATTTCCGGGTTTTCTTCCGTCCACCCAACCACCATTTTCAGGGGCTTAATGGGAAATGGGGAAATGCAACTCAGCCACTCAAGGGCATATGGGTGTGTTATTTTTTGAGGGTACCCATGTCTTGTGGCCGTGAAAGGAAACCGACAGGAAACCTTCCATTTTAGGGGGTCCCCTATTTTGACACACATCCATATATTCTTGTTTGCTCCTTGGGTAGTTTTGGGAGACCTATGAATCCGCATTTGTTTTTGGGCCGTGCCCGCCAACAAGCGCTCGATCGAACTGCATGTTCCTTTGGAAATGACCCACGGAGAGGGGGGGGGGGGGCTTGGATGGTCAACCCACGTCAGGTACGTAGGATCCAAGTACCTGCATTAGGCAGAAATTTGTTGGCTTGCCATGGCTACCTGCTGATGTGGGTACATCCAAGTAGAGTAAATCCAAGTAGGGTACCCAACTCCATGTTTCGAGTCACACAAAAAACAAACATGGAACAGGTCGAACTCCGGTGCTCGTTCCATGCCGTTGCATCCCTTCAAAGTGCCAGAGTGTGGGTACTTGTTGCAGAAACAAACATGTAACATGGGAAATACTTGAAATACCTGCTCTTGAGTACGGGGAAAAATAAACATCGCTGAGAACATCGGGGGCTTTGGGAGTGGCGACGATGAATTCCGCCCATTTCAAGTCATTTCTCAGCTTCCCTCTGATTGGTGGTCTGAATTCGGTGATTTGGTCGTTAGGGGCGGCTTCCCTTTTGTCCTCTACAAAAGCCATCACAGCCAAAAACTCAAATCCCCAAACCTCTAGGGGTTGATTCAATCCCCATTCTTTTCAATCATCGTCCTTTTCGAAAAACCAGCTGGTTCCCCAGATTGCTTGTGGTCTTCCAGAAAAAATTGGATCCCGGGAAAGAATGGAAATGGAAGCTACCCTTAGAAAACCACCAACTACCGGCCGCCAACTACAGGCCACCTGAATTTCAGGACCCGAACATGTCCGCCTACACAGGTCGGTCCGGGCGGTGAATTCAAACTGCCAGGGCCGCCTTCTTTAAAATGGGTGTGTTCTTGTTGAAGCTAGACCCCCCCACAGAACCAGTGGCCCTCCTATTTGTGGTGTCCCTTTAAAAACGCCAAAATAAGGGCACCCAAATAAAGCATATAACATCATTCAGCCAGCAAACAAAGTCCAACATAAACTACCTCCGGCCTTTGTTGGGCTGTGCATTCATGCTTATCCCTAGGCTGCAGCCTGGTACGAAGAGGCATATCAACTTCCTCCCCCCTCCCCTACAGCACGAAAACCATTGCGGGGCCCGCCCCGGCGGGCGGAACAAACTAGGGAACAAAACCAGGAATAGAACCCGTAAACGTGGCGGGTGTCCTTTCCGCCTTCCTTTGGAAACGCCTCCCAAAATGAGGCTCCCCGAATCCACGCGAAACCCTTGAGTGGCCTTCTTCGCTCTTATTCGGCCTCACATGTGTATGACTTCAGAACTTTTGGCACCCTTTGGTAGGCATATATGAGGTGGAGACTTCTATGTCCACCTGCCACTTCTGAGGTGGTTCGCCATGTAAAATCCTGCCCATATGTGTCGTGGTCCCAAACTCCTTGCATGGCCTATGGTCATGGCTCCCTAAAAATAGGATCTGAAGGATGCTTACTATCAACCCTGTTAGACCCCAAGTACAAAGGCCCTTTTGACCATGGCGCATGTGAGTCATCATCAAAACCCGGTATCAACATGGTCTACCCAGAACCATGTAAGGAATTAAGAAGGCGGCCGCAGCTATTTATGGTTGGGAGTATCCCTTACTAACGTTCATCTACCCGGGTTTTGATTGTGGCACATGTGACAACTTCCGTGGACGGGCGTTTTCGGCCGAACTCTCCCGCCAGATCGGACAAAATCTATTTTCCTCGTCGATTGGTTGCTGGTATTTGGCATCGGCTGCCATGTGCCCCACGTGCATCGAGTTGGGACCCGGAATCCTCCGACCCTCTCCGGCGCACGGGATGGGTGGCAACTGGCAACATGTTATCTTTCTACTGATAACTCCCCCATCTGGCATCATGATGGTCTTTTCATCGCTAGACAGATCATCAAAATGGCGATGTTGCTGTTCCTTTGCTGTAGCGCGCCGTTGATGCTGAGGGTACTGCTGTGATGCTCGCGATGTTGATGCTCCTTCTCTCTATCTATCACTATATATATATATATATGTATAGGCTTCAAAAGTGACGCTAGCCCTTGGTAATCCCTTGGTAGTGATGCTGCATCACCTGAGTTCGGTAGAATGACATGTGGTTCCGCTATTCGTTGTTTACTTCTTGCGGTCATAACCCCCAGCATCATCACTGAGTTAAATATCGGCCCCAGTGGTGATGCTGCGGATCCGAAAGGACGACGCCTTTTGCGTGGCTCGTCCCAGATACTGATGAGTCAAATGGTGCTTGGGCATAAGCCTACAAACTGCAAAAGCACATTGTGGCAACATTTCTCCTCAGGGGTGGCCAGGATCTCTTACCAAGTTAGCCTGTTTGTGGCACAGCCCTGGCGATGCGGTGCTCTGAATCAAACATTCTGTCTACCACTGCACATGGCTCTGTCTGTATTGTGCTGATGTGTCTTGCTAAAGGACGAAACTGAATATGTATATATATATATATATACTTCGCAACCCACATAAGCACGAAACATGGGGTGAGGATATAGCCATGGCTCACCTAAAGAGCCAGGCAAAGCGTTGGGCTCATAACCCTGATGTGCCTACGCTCCCTGCGGAGGGCTTATTTTGATCAACGAAAAGGCTAGTCGGTCGCACAGGGTAAGAACCTCTAGTTTGTTATGGCTTCGCTTTGGATTTCCTTTTGCTTCTTGGTTTCCTCTTTGTTTTCGTTTTAGTTCCCTTTTGTTTCCTTTTTGTTTCCCCTTCGGTTTCGTTTTAGTTTCCTTTGGGTTCCCTTTGGTTTCCTTTGGTTCCTTTTGGTGTCTTTCATGGGTTCCCTTTGGTGTCCTTTTGATTTCCTACTGGAATGGAATTCGTTGTGTAAAAAAGGCATGATCAAGCAGGAACAGCAGGCGTTGGATAATGTGAGAGAGCATCAGGGGTCGCGGCACAGGGCGGCAGCCCTTAGACAAGACCGGAGATCTTGTCTTTCCAACCCCCAACCTGATTTTGTCGACCTCCATTTTACCTTGCGGGTTGCACCTAACAAACAGGTTGGGGGCAAAAAAGTTGGGTTTCCTTAGGACAGTGTCTATAGATGTTGGTTCATATAATACTGTATAGGTGAGCCTCAAATGATAGGATATGATCAAATGATATCCCATTAATTAATTGCTCCAAACATGGTGCAACACCATTGCGCAGCAAGGTTCCCCATTTAAACCTAGAGCTCCCAACCACTACTGTTGATGGTTGAGAAATCCAGAAATCGCACCACCTTTCTCAAAAACCCTGGAATGAATCGATTCCCCGACGCAAATACCATAACAAACACTGGTGTCAACCATGGTTTCTTAGGTGGTGCAGGATTTCGTCCATCCACAGTAACATTGGCTGCCAGAATTTTCACGTGGTTGCCTACTCTAGTGGCCGTGGATGGGTACACGCAACACGGGGTACACGACAGTCGCCCTTGACTCGCGCAGGAACAGACTAGCCTCTGAGACCTCGCTGTCAACAAGATGGAAACACTATTGGTGCAACAAATGTGTGGGTCACATGAGCCCATATAATTATCATGAAAGAAAACCCCTGTATGTTGTTTTGATTCTCTTTGCAAGGTCTCCTGTTGGCGAGCAAAGGAACCGTCCTTTCCCTCGCCTTTTGCGCTCGGGCGCTGGATCGTTAACGGGAAACTGGGCGCGGTCCCCCCCCGCACCCAGTCTGATCAGATCTGGCGAACGAGCTGTGGCCTAAGACGCAGTCCAAGAACTGATGGTTGCTCTGGCTTCAAAGGGGAACCGCCAAACTGGTGGGTTTCCTTTATTTTCGCTCCAAAACGGGTATTCTAAAACACACACACACACACACACACACACACACACACACACACACACACACACACACACACACACGCACGCACGCACGCACAAACATCATATGGGGGCAATGTTCTCCTGGTCGGTTTTCCACAGCAATACCTTCTTTGGTGCCATAGCTCGAGCCGAAACGTCGCCGCAACATCGTCGCGAACGTCTCAGTCCAGCGTGTCGGTCTCTGCCTCCAAGGAAAACACTTGGCACCGTTCTGGACAAATCGGATGGTTGAATCACTCCCCTTCCTCCCACTAACATGGCACATGTGGCAGGGTATCTGGAAGTTAATTTTCCTCCTGGAGAGACCCCTTGTCAGGGGTCATGTTGGTGGGAGCGAGGGTTCAAATCCGCAATCCCCAGTCCCTACCAATCCAAACCACCAACTAGGGGCTACCTGAAAATAGAGCCAGTGCTGCCGAAGAACGATATTTCGCAGCCATGTCCGACCATAAGCCATAACCTTGCTTCCGGTTGAATCAGTTTCCCAAGCACCACGTAAGTACTTCTTATCATGGTGAATCAACCCATTTTGGTTGTTTAGGATGCCAATATGTTTTTTGGACCGATTCTTATTTTCCACGCTCGTGTGGGCGTTGATCACAAGGTCCTTGACATGGGGTGACCATTAGGAAAACCGCCAAAAAACATGAATTTTACCACTAAATGGGAAAAGTTGTTCATGGTCTTTGTGGGGCAAGGAATATCGATCAACCTCTGTCAATACATGTTTCAGTGCGAATCTCTGCTGGTTGACATATTTGGGACTGTTGGTCACCCCTCAGGTCCCGAATTGGATGAAACCCACATTGCTCCAAACAAGCCTAGGATCTTACTGTGGATGGTTGCGAAATCCAGAAGTCGCACCACCGAAGTCAGAAGCCCTGGAATGATTGGATTCCCCAACGCAAATACCGCAACAAACAATGGTTTCAACCATGGTTTCAGTAGGTGGCGCGGAGTGCATTTCGTCGATCCATTGCATTTGGGTTGGAGCGGGAACGGAGGGGGCGATGGGGTATGGGCATGGTCGCTAGATGGTGCGCAACGACCAGTGGATGAGACATTTGTGGGAGTTTGGTGAGTGTCCGCATGTTATTCCCTTTGAAATATAAACTGATGGCGAATCCTAGCTGCTGCTGGTTTACAGGATATGGCTACTTCAAGGGTATGCAGGGTTGCTCACACAAAGCGCGGGCAACCGCATGGAGAAACTATACATTCAGAAGCACAGAACAGGAAGCAGCTTCGAATTGCTTCCTGGTGCGCAGTAGGGAATGTGGGGATGCGTTTGGGGATTCCCGGATAAAGGAAACCATAGGAACAGGATGGTTCATAGGGTTCATTCCATTTCTCATTCCCTGCTGAGAACCAGCTTCGATTCTATGTTCGTTCTTGCTCAGCTTCCGGTTTCGTTTTTGTCACTTGGTGTCCCGCAGCCTGACTCACAACTCCTGCGGGGTAGATACGTTACGGGGGGTGGGTAGTTGAGAGCCCGCAACCTTCCTAGGGTTACTTACAGAGCCTTAGAAACCCCCCGCGCCCGTCGGCATTCCATAAACAACGGATACATGTTGAAAAACAAGCGAGTCACAATCAAAACCCGGGTGAGTGGAGGGTAGAAAGGGACAATCCCAGCCATAGATGGGTGCGGCTTTGCATGGTTCTGGGTTCCGGCCATTTCGATCCCGGGTTTTGATTGTGACTCAAGTGGCTTTGTTGAGGGTATCCTTGTTTGGCAGTTTGTTCAGGGGAAACCAAAAGGAGAACCCAAGCCAATTCGGAGGGACCCCTTAAAAGAACACATACCCCTTGGCAACTGGAAGCACTGGCAGCGCCTTCTCCTTGGGTGCGTCGCCCCCGCTGGCGCCCTGAGCACACATTTCATGATTTTAATGGCACACTGAGCACGGCGCCAAATGGAGGGCTCGGGCTTCTAACGGGGAGGCCCCACATTTTCGGGCGTTTGGTCGTGGGAAAAAAGGCAAAGGGGCCTTGCTAGACGTGAGTCTAATCAAAACCCGGTATTGAGATGGTCTACCCAGAACCCTGCAAAGAATCAAGAGGCGGCCGCAGCTATGTGCTGTTGAGATTGTCCCTTACTAGCCTTCATCTATCCGGGTTTTGAGGACGTGGCTCACGTGCTGTCCAGGTTCTGCATCATATTTCGTCCCCGACCAAACAAAACAGTGCTCCTTACCTCTTTACCTGTTACCCCTCCCCTAACCGCTTTCGCATCCTTAGCAGCTCCAGCGGCACATCGCCAGCATCACCTGCATCATCCGCATCAGCGCCTGCCAAGGATGCGGATGATGCAAGTGATGCTGGGGATGTTGCCTATGCTGGTGAAGGAAATGAAGGGGGGAAAGGGGGAAAGGATCTCAACAGCGAAAGGGGGGGAAAGATCTCAGGGAGGAAAGGGAGAAGATCTGGGGAAAAAATGCCTTAAGGGGGAAAGGGGGGAAAAGATCTTTGGGAGGAAAAGGGAAATCTTTCTCGAAAAAACAGGCCCTAAGGGGCAATCGGGGGACAGGATCTCAATCGGGAAAGAGAGAAAAAACTTTGGGAAGAGAAGGGTGGAGATTTTGGGGGGAAAAGGCCTTAGGGGGGAAACGGGGGCAAGGATCTTAAGCGGGAAAGGGGGGAAGAGATCTTAGGGAGGCAAAGGGAGACGAACTCAGGGAAAAGGACTTAGGGAGGAAAGGGGGGGAAAGATCTTTGGGAGGAAAAGGGAGAAGAACTGAGGGTGGGAAAAGGCCTTAGAAGGAAAAGGGGGGAAATAAATCATCTCAACAAGGAACTGGGGGGGGGAAAGATCTTAGGGAGGAAAGGCAGAAGATCTGGGGCAAAAAGGCCTTAGGGGGGAAAGGGAAGAAATGATCTCAACAGGGCAAGGGGTGGAAAAGATCTTCGGGAGGAAAGGGAGAAGATCTGGGGAAAAAAGGCCAACAGGGAAAGGGGGGAAAGATCTTAGGAAGGAAAAGCGAGAAGCTCTCAGGGGGGGAAAGGCCTTGGGAGGGAAAGGGGGGAAAGGATCTCAACAGGGAAAGGGTGGGAAAGATCTTAGGGAGGAAAGGGGGGGGGGAAGATCTTAGGGAGGAAAGGGAGAAGATCTGGGAGAAAAGGACTTAGGGGGGAAAGCCCAACAGGGAAAGGGGGGAAAAGATTTAGGAAGGAAAAGGGAGAAGCTCTCAGGGGGGGGAAAGGCCTTAGGGGGGAAAGGGGGAAAAGGATCTCAGCAGGGAAGGGGGGGGGGGGGAAGATCTTAGGGAGGAAAGGGAGAAGATCTGGGGACAAAGGCCTTAGGGGGGAAAGGGGAGAAATGATCTCAACAGGGAAAGGGGTGGAAAAGATCTTAGGGCGGAAAGGGAGAAGATCTGGGAGAAAAAAGGCCAACAGGGAAAGGGGGGAAAGACCTAAGGAAGGAAAAGGGAGAAGCTCTCAGGTGGGAAAGGCCTGAGGGGGGAAAGGGTGGGAAGGATCTCAACAGGGAAAGGGGGGAAACAATCTTAGGAAGGAAAGGGAGAAGATCTGGAAAGGCCTTAAAGGGAAGGGGGCAAAGGATCTTAAGGAGGAATAGGAAGAAGATCTCAGCGGGGGGAAAGGCCGTAGGGGGGAAAGAGGGGAAAGGATCTCAACAGGGAAAGGGGGGGAAAGATCTCAGTGAAAAAGGGAGAAGGTCCCAGGCAGGGAAAAGGCCTTAGGGGGGAAAGGGGGAAAGGATCTCAACAGGGACAGGGGGCAAAGGATCTTAGGGAGGAAAAGGGAGAAGATCTGAAAAGGCCTTAGGGGGAAAAGGGGGAAAGGAGCTCAACAGGGAAAGGTGGGAGAAGATCCTAGGGAGGAAAAGGGAGAAGATCTCGGGGGAAAAGATCTTGGGGAGGACAAGGGAGAAGATCTCAGGGGGGGGAAGGCCTTAGGGGGGAAAGGGGGGAAAGGATCTCAACAGGGAAAGGGGGCAAAGGATCTTAGGGAGGAAAAGGGAGAAGATCTTGGGGGGGAAAACGCCTTAGGGGGGAAAGGGCGGGAAAGGAGGATCTCAACAAGGAAAGGGGGGAAAAGATCTTAGGAAGGAAAAGGGGGAAGATCGCAGGGGGAAAAAAGGCCTTAGGGGGGGAAAGGAGGGAAAGGATCTCAACAGGGAGAGGGGGGAAAACATCGTGGGGAGGAAAAGGGAAAAACTCAGAGGGAGAAAGGGTCTTAGGGGGGAAAGGGGGGATGGATCTCAACAGGGAAAAATTGCAAAAGATCTTAGGGAGGAAAAGGGAGAAGATCTCAGGGGGGGAAAGGCCTTAGGGGGGAAAGGGGGGAAAGGATCTGAGCAGGGAAAGGGGGGGAAAGATCTTAGGGAGGAAAGGGAGAAGATCTGGGGGCAAAGGCCTTAGGGGGGAAAGGGGAGAAATGATCTCAACAGGGAAAGGGGTGGAAAAGATCTTAGGGAGGAAAGGGAGAAGATCTGGGGGAAAAAAGGCCAACAGGGACAGGGGGGAAAGATCTAAGGAAGGAGAAGCTCTCAGGGGGGGAAAGGCCTCAGGGGGAAAGGGTGGGAAGGATCTCAACAGGGAAAGGGGGGAAACAATCTTAGGAAGGAAAGGGGGGGGGGAAGATCTTAGGGAGGAAAGGGAGAAGATCTGGGAGAAAAGGACTTAGGGGGGGAAGCCCAACAGGGAAAGGGGGGAAAAGATCTTAGGAAGGAACAGGGAGAAGCTCTCATGGGGGGGGAAAGGCCTTGGGAGGGAAAGGGGGGAAAGGATCTCAACAGGGAAAGGGTGGGAAAGATCTTAAGGAGGAAAGGGGGGGGAAGATCTTAGGGAGGAAAGGGAGACGATCTGGGAGATCTTAGGGAGGCAAAGGGAGAAGATCTCAGGGGGGAAAAGGCCTTAGGGGGGAAAGGGGGGAAAGGATCTCAACAGGGAGAGGGGTGAAAACATCTTAGGGAGGAAAAGGGAAAAAAACAGAGGGAGAAAAGGCCTTAGGGCGGAAAGGGGGAATGGATCTCAACAAAGAAAGGGGGGCAAAAATCTCAGAGGGGAAGGGGGCAAGGGGACAATTCCAAAGGGACGCAAATAAGAAAGCAGGCCTGTAATGTCGGCGGCCTGAGCCGGAGGCACTAAAATTTGGGAAAGGACAATCCGCTGACAGCACCAGACCTTCATATTGCCCCGCCTTTTGAATTTTGGGAGGTTGGAAGTGGGCCCGAACTTCGAACCCCCAGCCCCGTAACCCTTTGCTGGACATCAGACTTGTGCGGGGATTCGTGTCCACCACTCGCAAAAACAAGAGGTCCCGTTCGCGTATGAAGCTCGCAGCCAGGTTGTTGCCAGTCGGAAGATCCGCAACCCGAAAGTTCAGGGATGTGTGACCAATACACTGGACAGGTGAGCTTTTCCCTTCAAGCCAGCGAGGATGCAGCCGTCAAGGCGTGCAGGTTATGCACCACTATGAGGGCTGAGGCAGAAAAACGGCTCTTATCAAGTAGAGTTTCGCAAAACAAACCACCTGAAAAATGCCCAACCCCAGTTCTTCAAGTTGCCATAGCAGGTGTCACGTTTGGCTACCTGCCGCGGACACCTGCAGCATTGGGCCGCCTTTATCCGCTACAAGATGTTAGCTAGTTCTCACCACAGCTCCAACCAACCCACTGTGAATGGGCAACATCCACTTCGCACCAGTTGGAATGGGTGAAAAACCTATGAATACTGAAAGAGATGGGCAACATCTACTTCGCACCAGTTATGGGTGAAAAACCAAAAACTGCTGGCAGAAACTCCAGTTTGGGGCAAGTTGGGTCGGAGGTCGGGACCCGCCTTCTGTTCTGGAGCAGCGCCTGCATCCTGGCGCGAAATCCGTCTGGTTCTGGAGATGTCTTAAATCACCTGGAAAAACCCACCTGAGCCTTAGGCCCCAAAACGGTTTCCTATTGAGCTGGTGGAAAAGGTGTTGCTCTAAACGGCCAAACTGCATGCTTTCCGAAGGGAAGCAGCTGCGACGCTCGTCTGCTCCTTCTGCCAGCACCCCTTACAGCCTACTCTGACTCCCGCCACTTCCGGAGAGCCAAGGTACTTCATGTTGACCCCACATCCAACCCCTCCAAGAAAAGGGGGTGAACTCCCTCCAAAAGCGGTCCAGACTCCCTCCTCAAACGGAGGACCACGGGACCCATCTCTCAAAATCAACCAGAGGTTCTACTCGGGGGTTCCCATTAATGTTGAGCCCGGATTGATAAACCCCCCATCTATGAATATAGGGGTGTTCCCTCCAAAAGTGATGAATTCCCACTAACACCAGGGACATCCCCAGATTAATCCACAGATGATGACTACTCCGGGGTGGACATTATTCCCCTTGCCTCACCAGCTGCCCTCTGCCAGGCAGAAGCTTGGAAAAGTGTCGCCCTCAAATTTCAAGAACACCTTCGACTCCGCAAAACAACTGCTAGGTCCTCCAGTAAAGAGGTTAGAATAAGGGTACCCTTTTTGCTGTAGTGGACCTAGAATGTGTTTTCTCAAACGTGCTTCCTTTTACCTGCATAGAACCCCAAGGTGAGCTTCGGTCTGGGGTGATTCGAAGCAGGTTTCAGGGAGGGTTCCGGAGGGTTTCAAGGGGTGCCGCAACAAATTGGGCACACAACCGGGCTGACTTTTGAGGGTATCCTTTTCCAGGTTTGCTTAAAGCGAAACAGGAAAATTGACATTTCAATGATGGCAACGTCCGGCCCAGGTCAAGGAAGGCTGAGACCAAGGCTTGGCAAGGTCCCTCAAGTTACTCAATCCGCACTTTCTTGCGGCGCACACAAATGAAGGCGCCCTTACGGCGGAAAGACGCCACCCAGCTAATGTGGACCCCAGACAAATGAACCCTGCTTATTCGTGGGGGGAGTGTTCCCCTTCTATGGTGATTCCCACTAAACCCAGGGACACCCCCAAACTAATAAACAGGTTCAAAAACAAAGGGTCCAACATGAACGAAAAGGCCGTCCAGGCCCTTTCCACCGTCCTCTCTCCAAACCCCGGAGCCCGAGCCAAGACCCCCAAAAATGTCCCGCCTTTGAGGCCACCCG